CCCCCCCCCCCCCTTCCCACTTTGGCATGTGAGGATTTGCACTGAGCTGCATGTACCGTGTTGTGATGCGCGTAAGAACTGGGGGAAAAAACTCAGTTATAAAACTTCACGCGCAAAAAAGCACCAATCCAGCCTATTGAGCGCTCTTCAAGATCGCACCTCGATCAGATCAATCCAACATTGACTGGTTATGAGATTCAATTCCTGTATAATGTGCATCACAAGTGTCCTTGTTCATAACATTCAACGGAAACACACTTAATGATGTGAAATACGCAGTATATCAAACCTCACTAGGGTATGAAGTTATATCAAGTACGCATCAAACACTCCTCGCGGTCGATCCTGGACTAGAGTGACTATATACAGTTAGTTTAAGAAGAACAACAAAACTGTCCATGAAAACGACATCACAGTTGTAATTTAGAAGAATTGACGACTTTTAATTTTTCCGTCTGCATTACAATCCTAGAGCGTTTTCTGGGTGTTATGTTTCTGATACATATTGCGATTTGGACATTCTTGGATGATCGGGGACGATGGGTTTTTTAAACAAATATTGTCTCTTCTTTCCTTTTCTTTGTCAGTACTGTGCCAGGTTTGTGCTGAGCCTCAGGATGTTTTTCAAGCTCTGTCGGGCAATTGCTCACCTAAAAAAAGATTAAAATTCAGTTGTAAAACGTAGTCAGTGAAATAAAATTGGGACAGAATTCATATCAAGCGAGAAGGTGATAGGAGAAGAGGGAGGTGGAAGGAAATTAAACAAGTCTGTCTGTGACGCTTGAGTAGAAATCTCAAAAGGTGAGTGTGCTGCAATTTCTCATTTTCTGGATTTAATTTAATTTTTGTGTGTGTGTGTAAGAACCAGAACCAGATTTGTGCAGCAGACCTCTCTTTTAATGAAATGGGTTTTCATATTACAAAAGAGGAATTCAAAATAGAATCCTGCGAAATTCTAACCCGCCTCTTTTATTCCTTTCTCAATCAGACCTTTTTCCAGCTGCTTGTTAGGTATTTACTTACCGGACTGGCCAGTAGAGTCTGCTTAAGGTCATAAAACACGGCTGAATCTTCCTGGGTCAGAAAGGTTACGGAGATACCAGTCTTTCCAGCGCGACCAGTTCTACCGATACGATGAGTGTAGCCTTGAACGAATAAAACAACATTACGACTACTTGCAGACAATTGCTGTGCTATTGTTACCAAACCAGTGAATTTGAATAAAACAGGAACACATAAATGTGACTGCGTGGCGTGAACAAGAAAGGCGTGCATTTGGCAATGAAGACCGAGTCCTCGTAAATAAAACCTTGTAAGAGAAAAACCTACTCATAGAATTCTAAAACATTTCCGCGATATACCTCATGGAAAAGAAGACTATTTTGGACACGCTGTCGTTAATTAATAAAATGGACACCATTTAATATCAACCACCAACCTTCTATAGACTTTGCCATGTCGTAGTTAAGAACAAGCGAGACATCCCTAGCGACAAAAAATTTAAGTCAAAACATTCGAACAAAAGGGCAAACGACAAAACAAAGAGATGATCGTGACGGTGATGATAACGATGAAGAACACCTACTTGATATCAATACCACGCCCCGCTACATCAGTGGCGACAAGAATATCTTTAGCACCAGACTTGAGACTCGACAAAGCAAACTCTCTGAAAATAGATAAAATATTGCAATTCACGCAAGTCTGTTAAAAAGAGGACTGTTGTGCTGGTGTATAAAACGAACTCTAGCAACTGACCAACAACAAGTAGCTTTTAGCAAAAAGAAGATGTTAAAGAGAAGACATTTAAGAGTAAAACTAAAAATCCATCCAGTATAAAATAGTGCTTGATGTAAACTACAGGTTTTTACAATTTTTCTAGAATAAATGAGGTGGGGCATGTTGATCAAGGGAATGAACTCACCTCTGTTCCTGGTTTCGTCCACCATGGAGGGTCGTGGCACGGAACTAAGGAGAGCCAATTAGGTTAAAAATATATAACAATACATACATACATACAAATAACTAACAGAAAACTAACAAATGGAAAAAAAATTCCAACCAACAAACAAGGAAACAAACAATCAAGCAAACGATCAACCAAACACAGAAATAAACAAAATAACAAGTAGGGGTAACGACAGAGGCTAAAATTACGAAAGACTTACGCCCATTTTCTCCAAGGACTTTGCTAATACATCAGCTCCCTAGAAAGAATAATAACGTTTTATACCCTTCACGTTCGTGAATGGAACTACTCGTCGAACCCCAGCTAGAGTCCCGATTCCTTTTAAAATCGAAGCATATCAGGGCAATATTATGAAAGAACACTAGTATTGGAAACTGAATGAATAAACTGAGAACTACTACAAATACACAGGAAATAAATTAACAATGTGGGTTAATATGAAGTAATTATTGAGTAGAAACAAGTAGAGAATCTTACCTTCTTTTGATTGACAAATATTATAATGGGAGGGTCGATACCACCGTTCAATATCTCTAACAGCTTCTTCCTGTTTAGAAAACGGAAAACGTTACAGATTACAAGGTTTCTATGCCCTTCTTTCTTACATCCCTTTGTTGTTGTAGGCATTTTCATTCGATATCACCTTGATAACCAAATTGACACCTCACAACAGACAAGAGACATGTCTTCACCCAGCAATGAAGATTGTAGATGAAATACAAGGCACAGGAGCTTAGCCACACTAAGATATTGGCACCAAACCCTGAAATCACTTTAACAAAAGCAAATGAGGTTTTTTAAGGTGCAGAACACCTCCGCCAAGAAATGAATTATTAGCTTGTACAGAAAATATCTTAAACCACTAGTTCATGGAGGACGCAAGAAATGTTAGTTTTGATTTATAAATATTACAACAAAAATCTTGCTGACAAACCGTTTTTGAGCTTCATTAAGCATGTAAACTTTCTGTTCAACTCTCTCAACTGGTTTGCCTGTGAAGAATTGGTAAAGTAACGGTATTCAGTCTCAAGTTAGTGGAAAATCGAAAAAGAAAGAGTAATAATAGAATGGACAGGATATTTACCTATAGAGCCAATATAAACCACAGCAGGCCGTCTGAAAGAGAAACAGGCACCTTTCAACATTTTTTTCAGTAATGCAGTCACCTTTAACCGATGAGAATCGGACGGACCCACCTGAAATCAGACTGAAGCGTCCCAAATGGAACCAAATAAAACGAAAGCAAGCGGAAACCGTTGGGATTGTACAAAAGCGTCCGAAATCTGACGAAAAGATTTATACGCGAACCAAACGCACATTATCGGACGGAACCCTCCGAAATCGAACAGAAACGTAGAAGTTCCGTTCGATATCGAAACCACAAGACAGAAGGCAGTGGGCAAACCAAACACATACGCAAGCATTCAATATCAGGTGAACAATTCCGAAATCAAGACGACCTGTTCGTAAGCCTCCAACACCGAATACAACCGTTTGAAAAAGCGCGAACCCGTCAAAAATCTAACGAAGCCGTCCAAAATTGGACGATAGCGTTCAGCATCGCAACGCACAGTTCGAAATCGGTGGAACTATCCGAAAGCAGTTAGAATTGCACGAAATAGAGGCGTTCGTAAACCGGCGGACGAATTCCTTCAAAAACAAAAGGAACCACCTCCTTTGACGAAACCGAAAAAATCGGACGAGACTGTCTGAAATTAGACGGAATCGTCCGAGATTGGATGAAGCCTTCCGGAATCGGACGTAATATTCCGAAATCGGACGGAGACATCCGAAATCAGACCGAAACGTTCAAAATCAAACAGGACTGTCGAAGCCAAAAGAAACCACCGAAAGGAGGACAGCGCCTAAAATCGGAAGGGATCGTTAGAAATCGGATGGCAGTGTTCGAAATCAGACAGAGCCGTCAGAAATCAGACGAAACCGATCGAAATGAGTCCAACACATCCAAAATGGGAGAGAAACTGTTTGAATTATTTGATTTACTTACCGAAGATAGTTCCTCGCCATACGTTCCACTTGCGGAGGCATAGTGGCCGTAAACATCACCGTCTGACAAAATAAACAACCACAACAATTACCACCAAATCAAAAGAGCGTTACAAGCAAACATTTTAGTAAAAAGATGAACAAGGTAAAAGTCGATATTGCCTCATCACATAATGTACTTCTCCAACGATGATCATTTTTACTAGAAAATAATTCTTGATTTCAAATTAAGTCATTCCAGTAAATTGTATACATATTGTTTATACTGTTTCTGTCCCAAATACAATATTAAAAATCCGCCAACATCTTAACGAACAAGTATTATGTGTGCACCAACCTGTCTAAAGCGGTCTTTTCCCATGTAGGACAGTAGTTTCTCGGGATCCTCAGCGTCTTCACTATCAGGTTTAACGTTACTCACTGGTAAGTGTTCCAAAATCTTTTGAACTTCCGGCTCAAAACCCATGTCGATCATACGATCTGCCTGTAATCATTAATGAAGAACAGACGAAATAAAGTTTTACCTGAGCTCAAAGAAAAAATTTAAACAAAACGATCAAGTTTTTGTTCGTTGTCATTTTCCGCTTTACAAAAATGTAACTTGAGATTTCCTAGTGCTCTATTCACCGTTTTTCCTTCCATTCCCTGGCTAGGACAGCAGTTAAATCAATGCTACGAATTCCCGTTTCAACTTTAATGTACACTTCAGAAAAACGGTAATCTTTCTTCTCTTTCCATGAACAAATTTAACCCTTTAACCCCTAACAGTGACTAAAATCTGATTTCTCCTTACAGTATCACCCCTGAATCACACTTTAAAGTCATGAGAATAATAAAAATGATCAACAACTAAAGAAGTTCTTAACTCTTAAACAAATTCTCCTTGTCAACACCTTGGAAAGTATACAGAGCACAGTATGTAGAGCAC